CTTAGAATGAAGAAGGTGCGAAATATCACATGGAAAAGTTGAGGCAGTATCAATTGAATCGATTGAAATATTATTATGCTGTTGCCGAATTTGATTCTGCCGAAACGGCAAACAAAGTATACACGGAATGCGACGGTATCGAATACGAATCAACTGCAACTAGATTAGATCTCAGATTTATACCGGATGATATGACGTTTGATCAGGTATCTCTTAAGATCATAATATACGATATATTATATCAAAATTCTGTTAAAGTATTAAGAAGGATATATTTTATACATGATATGCTTGTTGAAGGAACCTAAAGAGACGTGTACTGAGATTCCGGAACCCGTGAAGTATCAACCAAGACAGTTTACAACAACGGCTTTGCAACAAGTTAAAGTCCAGTTAACGTGGGACGAAACAAATCCGGATCGGCAAGAATTTACGCAAAAACTGAATTCGGGAAAAATACAAGATATTGATGAAAATGATCTACAGACATATCTGGCGAGCGGTAGCGAGGATGACTCAGGTATGATATCGTTATATTATTTTATTTTTTATGTTATTTTCTATATATTAGATCTAAATCTATCGGTTTTGTATTTTAGATACAGAAGAAAAGAAAGATATAACTGAAGAAACCAACGATAATGTAGAATTGGAGACAAATAATGATCTAATTGGAAAGTACAAATCTTTATTAAAGAATATTGAAGAAGAAGAAGAGGCAAAGAAAAATAAGGATGTCGAGTTGGAATTCTCATGGGGCTTAGGTACCAAAGAAAAGGTTGAAAAATTAGTCAAAGAGAGAATGAAAAATAAGGAAGAACTCACACCTTTTGAGCAATATCTAGAGAAACGCAAAGCGAAAAAGAAAGCTAAGAAAGAAGAAAGGAAGAAGCTTAAAGAAGGAAGTCAGAAAAGCGATTCGGAAGATTCTCTGCCGTCTGATGTAGATATGAATGACAAATATTTCGCGGAAGAATTCAAAAACGGTAAATCCTTACCGCGCAAAAAAGGAAAGGAAGATAACAAAGCTAGTGTCATTGATTCGTCGAATGAGGAGGAAGAAAATCAACGTAAAGGCGAATTGGAGTTGCTTTTGATGGATCAAGACGAGGACGGCAAAAAGCACTTCAATATGAAGCAGATCGAAGAAAATGCAACTATGTCGAAATCCAAACGAAAACGTCTCAACAAGAAGAAGAATGTGCATGAAGAAGCGAAAGAAGATGAATTCGAAGTTAACGTTAAAGATCCAAGATTTGGCGCTTTGTTTACGTCGCATCATTTCAATATCGATCCTGCGGATTCGCATTACAGGAAGACAAAGGGTACGGAAGCTTTGGTAAACGAGAAGTTGAAGAGGAGAGCTGATAACGAAGTGCACACAGAAAACGTGAGTAAAAGAACATTTTCGTTAACAGCACTTCATGCATTCTTTCTTTTAATGCGTATCGAAACTTTCAGGACAAGCAATCTAAAAAGCCAAAAACAGATGGAAAGCTGCCAACGGAATTACAAGCTCTGGTTAAATCTGTTAAGAAGAAAACACAAAACATCACACAGCCAATAAAAGGATAGGATATTATCTTTGTATTAGTTCTAATATAATTAGTTACAAGACTATATTTTATATATTAATAAAGAGAACTACGTTTTTCTCTTAAGAGATAATTCTCTTTCATTTTACAGTTTGTATTATGAGGTATAAGTAGTATTTTCTTTTTGTAATAATCATTTATAACAAAATGATAAACTTTTATGGTATAATACTGCTATATTATGATTACTAATAATACAAATAATAAATTGACTAAATTGTACATACATAGAAAAGTATAAAAAATATATTATAAATTTATTATATAATGAATGGAATGCATCTTCAGAAAAGAAAAGTCACTTGTCCAAGTAATAAGAGGAATCTTTAATTCCACTGCAATATTAGAGGAACTCTCGTTTCTTGAATTTATACACACAAATTTCAAGATTATATTTCAATACATAAGTATTTTTTCAATAAATAAATCACTGGACATATCCAATTTTTGTGTGAGCATTTCCATCGCGTTGTCGTACGCTATGTGCACGTGCCATTAGCTGCTAGGGAATTTTTTAGGTTACCGTCGTGTTTCGACGTAAGTTGGCGTCAGTATTTAGTAAATGCTTTACGATTTGGCAAAATATATTTTCAAAACCGTAAAGCATAGATGCTCGCGTATCGATCCCGTCTGTGCGAAAGTCAGACAGGCGAACAGGCGGCACGATATCTCATCCGGAGTTATTACGGTCCATTTGTGCAACACGTGTAATTCATCGAGACCGATTCGCGCACAAGTGTTGAGAGACAAGTGTTGGTTATGTTCGCTGCTCGGGCGAAAACAAAATTTGGTAGCGATGTAGCGGTAAGTAAGACGGGATCCGGTCGTACGCGCTGATATATCGCGGAAACTTTAACGCACGGTGCACTTGCAGTGACTTGAGGCGACGCCCGGTTTGTACGCGCGGAGATTTATTCACGACCGAACTGGAAAACGAACAGTCTGCAAATGTACGACGGCGGCAGCAGCGGGTGTAACAACGTCCCCTGCACGGAACATCGAAACAATGTCCGACGGTTCTAAGATGGGCCTGTTCGGCTCCAAGGACCGGAATCAAGAACAGAAAGAGAAATCTTCTAAGGACAACTCCCCAGCCCGTTATACGCCGTACGGCGTCGACAGCGACACCGAGACCTACGACACTGAGGCCCTGAGCATGATGGATATCAACGATATCATCGGCGTGCAGTCTGGCGACCAGGCCGGCGACTCGACTCTGGAAAGCGAAATCGCCGCTCTTTCCAAGATCATTACAGAATCAAAGGTAGAGCTGACTTTACAGTCGGAGGACTTGAAGCTAGTAACGCAACAGGGTTCTTCTAAGATACAGCATCCTACTTCTGGTACTGTCTGTACCACAAGCATCGATAATACCGATATTCCTAATGCCGACGAGTCCAATATCATGTCTGAAAAGTGTACAGATATTATCCGTCAATTGCAGGAAGAGACGTCTGATTTTACCTGGGAAAATAAGACACACGCAGCATCGTCAATTGTCGCAGAAGAGAGTGCTTCGGAGAATGCAGTAATGGACTGTGTAATTCAACGTGACGAAGCTACCGACGTAAATACTAACGAAATGATTGGTGATACATCCACGGTTTGTACATCAGAATCGTCTTCCAATGATAAGTCGCGCATTGAGATTGATTCGTCGACTGTCACGTCAAACGATATTTTACAGGAAACTGCCCAGAATAAGCAACAAGTAGACGCCGCTTCTCCTACGGTTCACGAAGAAAGTGTTGCTGAGAAAGTGGAGGATGAAACTGTTGACAAAACGGTTGACAGTCAAAACGAGACCAAAAGCGGTATAAGGCCTGTGGTAACAGTCAGCAATATTAGCAAGAGTTTGCAATTAATAGGAGAAGCATATAATTCTGAGGATTCAGAGGAAACAGATGTGAATGATAGCGACTTGCCGAAAGAGACTCCATCACTTTCTGTTTCTAAAGAAACTTCATTGCCGGATGTTCTTGCAAGACAGTCTGACGAAGATAATTCTGAAGTGAGTGACATGTTGGAGCAAAATACTGAAAACTCTTCAGAGTTAAGTGACACTGTAAGTGCGGCTATTTCAGAAGAATCAAATACAAAAGAAGAAAACACCATAGATAGCAAAATAGAAGATTCAAGTATAAAAGAGCTGGAAGATTCTAATCAAAGTGAAACATTGCAACAAGTTTTAGAAATACAAGAAAATGTAGACGATACTGTAGTAAATAAAATAGCAGAACATGTTGATGATAAGATATCAAGTCTCAAGCAACAAGATGAAAACGAAAGTGAAAATAATACTGAAATAGAAACAGATACAACTGAAGGAACGGCATTAGAACATCAATCTTCCAATGAAACTTCTAAAGAAACGACAAGTACATTTGCTATGTCAACAATGGAAATAATGAAAGATGCGGAAGAAAGCAATACACCTGCTACATCAACAATGGAAATAATGAAAGATACAGAAGAAAGCGATACACCTGCTATGTCAACAATGGAAATAATGAAAGATACAGAAGAAAGCGAGGAAAATACTGAAATAGAATCGAGTATATCAGCACTTGTTCCTGAAACGGAAAAGCAAGATAGTTCCGTGACTTCTAGTGAAAAAGAACTGCCAGATACAAGAAAAATAAGTGATAATTATTCTGTAATTGATGATGCGGAGGAACTTGTAAAAAACGTAGTTGAATGCGAAGATAAGGATACCGTTTCAGTATCTGCAAACAAAACTCAAGAGTCTACCTTACCTGAGATGTCTGATAAGGAATTTAGTATGACAGAAGTGACAAGTAAAAATAATGATTCTCAGGAAGCAGATGTCACCAATGAAAGCTCTCAGACAACACACGAAGTCGTTTTGATAACAGATAAAATTAATGATAATACTCAAGAAACAGTTTCCATAGAAAAAGATCTTGAAAGAACTGCTGTAATTTCGGATAATCAAGATAATGTGGACATAGCTAATGCTAAAGAGACATCTGTGCCAACGGATAAAAGTGCAGTTGAAAGTGCATCAGATACAATTAATAAGGAATTAATTTTAAACGAAGATACGTCACTAAGTCGTCCAGATATTGAAGAAAAGAATGTAATGACTAATGAACAACCTGCAGGCAGTTTGTTAAGTGAAGAAAACTTAGATTTGTGCTCTGAAAATTTAACAGTACAGAGTGATTCAACGCCTATTAATATTAATAATTCTGAAGAAACAAATGTTCATGCACAAGAAAATATTCTTGAACAAACACTTGAAACCCCAGTTGAGCATGATAAATCTGTTAAACAATTTTCATCTGTTTCAGAAAAATCTAAAATTAATGACACTACATCTAGTAAAGTCGAAAAATTACATTCTGCTCCAATCTCGGATGAAGATTCAAGTAACGCGGTTGAAGATATAAGCAAGCTCGAGGCTGAAGAAACAGAGGACGTAGAGAGGAAGATACCAGAAGCGGTATCACCGTCTGTCAGTAAAGATCAAAGTGAAATTTCATCGACAGAAAATAAACCACAGCAACCACTTGATCAACCTGAATTATGTGTTCAAGAACAAGTCGATTCATCTATGCAGATGGAAAGTAAATCAACTTTGGAAAATGTTATGCCTTCCAATGTATTATTAGAGAATGATACAAATTCACCATTGACTGAAAATTTGATTGTTTCAGAAGATGTAATAGATAACATGTGCAATATAATACAGAAAGAAGATGAAGTCATGAAAAATATTACCGCTGAAGTATCGTTGAACGAGACGGCAATAAAAGCATCCGAGTTAAACGAAGAGAAAGTTAAAGAAATTGAAAAAAGTGAAGAAGAGGCCAAAGGTCATGATATGAGTTTAGATTTGGAGCCAGTAATTCCACAAACAAATCCAGAGAATAACAATTTACAGGACGATGAAGAGACGAAACCATGCGAAAATAGTGCAAAGACATCTACGGAATCGAAAGAATCGATCGATGTTGATGTAACACCGATAGTTGAGGAGAATAATGTGGAACCTGATGTAGAAGAATCCACTGATGCCGATGTAAAAGAGGTAGAATCGAACGTCATTGATATTTCTTTACTACAAGAAAGTTCGAGCGAAAAAGTGAATGCCGAAAAGTTAACGGAAAAACTGTCTCAAGATTCGGAAAGTATGGATGCTCCGGTCACTGCTCAAACTGTAGACGCTCTAGAAGGACTTTTGGATATGACTCTTATGTCGGACAATGAAAATTCTTCGTTAAAGGACATGAAAAGTGAAGATAAAGCTTTAATGGAAGAAATAGTAAGTAAAAATATTGATATGGATCTATTGTTAGATGAAGCAAATCAAAGCGACGCAACCATGACGCAAAGTTCGGACTACATAACAAACGTGATTGCTAGTTGTTTGACAAACAGAGATAATGAAACGAGCGAGGCTGATATCAACATACTGAGTAACGATAAAACTACCAAAAACGAAAATAGTGGCTTAAAAATGAACGAAGATGCGAGTGTGGAGCCGGCAAGTGAGATGGCAGATAACGAGAAGATGGAAGAATCTCTTGGAACGGATAGCAACTTGCAGCAGAACGATTTGGACATGGATTTCGAGGGCAACCGATTGGAGTCGGTCGACTTGGAGGAGAGTGAAGAGAAGCTGGAGCAGGACATTCTGCTGGAGGGCGTAATACCGAGTGAGAATCTTTCCCAACATGTCGACACTGCGACCGTCACCGAGAATTCGCAGTCGAGCTCAGAGATCTCCGAATTGGAATCCGCGGTGAAATTCTTGCAGGAATCCGAGGAGCAGACGATAGACTCGCTGGTGCTCTCGCCGAAGATGGTGGAGAGCGTCGTCGAGGACATAACGAAGCAGGCGAACGCGGAGCTTTACGTGCCGGATGAGATAGACAATTACGCGAACGCCGAGTCTGAATTGGCGCATCTGAGAGACGTCGCCGCCGCGGATTCAATCTCCATTTCAGAAGCCGAGATCATATCGGAGGCTGCTAAGCTGGAGAATGAACGGAAATTTGCGACGCAGATGCAAAACGTCCCCAGTATCGTTGTGAAGGACACCGAAGAAATGACTGAAGAGACAGAGGATCGCACGTGTTCGAAGACTTCGTCTGATACGGCTTCTGTCGCAGATAACTCCTTGAATGTGCAAACAATGGAACAATCGCACGAAGAAAAGGGAGTTGTATCCGACATTAGATCGTTGTCGAGCGAAGGTATTCTGAAGGCGTGCGAGCTGATCCCGAGGGTGTCGATATTGGAGGAACGACTGAAGGAACCGCCGAAGATCGAGATACCCGTTCCAGATTCGGCTAAGGTATTGGAAACTTCCATTAGCCCGAACGACAGTCTTCTCATACCGAAGGACGCGAGAGCTATCGCGTACTCGAGGATGTTGGAATCACCGAAATCGGCCGACAAAGTCGAGTCGAAGGGCCCCGACACACCGCGCAAAGACTCCGAGAAGCACTCCGACTTCGAGAACGTCGGCTCGCCGAGGATAATCCTGAAGATCGCCAAATCGGCGATCACGGACTGCAGCGAGCCGCGATCGCCGAAGAGCCCGAAGATCCGCTCGGCTACGAATTCGCCGAATCCGGAGGACAGTCCCGGTCAGAAGTTAGGAAAGATTAAATTAAAACTGTCGAAAGGTGGCCACCCCTCTATAATATCCAACGAGAATCTGGAGGAGGTCAATCAATGGCACACGCACACCGCTGAGAACACGTCGTCGTTATCTCCTATCGGCATGAAGATCAAGCTGTCTAAATCCGGCGACGCTTCAATCGTGGGTGCAGAGAAACACGAGAGTCTGGATGACTCGAAGGAGACAAAGTACAAAATCGAAGAGCCGAAGAGAACTGATTCGCCGATCGGCATGAAGATAAAATTATCAAAGTCGGGAGACGCCTCGATCATCTCTGACTCCAGGCAACAAGATACCAAAGAAGCTCTTACGAAGCACAAGGAGAAGTTGGAGATGCCGCAGGGAAGTCCGAAAAGGACAGAATCGCCAATTGGGATGAAGATTAAACTCTCCAAAACTGGTGACGCTTCTATCATTCAGACCGACAGGCAAGAGTCTTCAGAGGAGCACAAGGAAATTACACAGAAGCGGACCGATTCTCCGATCGGTATGAAAATTAAACTGTCGAAGACCGGTGACGCTTCCATCGTATCTCCCGATGCTCCCGAGGACTCGTCTACGAAGATGAAGGAAAAGCAGGACTATTCGGAACTACCGAAGAGGACCGAGTCTCCAATCGGAATGAAGATAAAGTTATCCAAGTGCAAAGGCGGTGCATCTATTATTTCTGTAGACAATACTGAAGATGCGAGAGACAAATTGGAGGTGCCCGATCCACCTAAACGCACTGAATCGCCGCTCGGTATGAAGATAAAGTTATCCAAAACCGGAGACGCATCTATTATACATTCCGAAGTTACAGAAGACATTAAAGAAACGAGACACAAAGACAAGTCCGAGGTATCGCAAGACACAGCGAAGACGCCGGAGTCTTCCGGGATCAAGATCAAGATGAAGACAGGCGAAGCGGCATCATCAGCATTGGCGGACGTTACCGAAGAGCAAGATGTGTTCCAAGCCTCCGAATCGTCCACAAGCAGCATTCCGAAGATCAAAGTATCCAAATCTGGGGATACATCGGTAGTTTCTAATAAAACAGAATCAACAGAAGACGCGAGATCACGGGAGGGTCAAGCAGAAGTATCGAAGAGAACGGAATCTCCACTTGGCATGAAAATCAAGCTGTCCAAGAGCGGCGACGCTTCTATTGTGCAGAGCGAAGCTGTCGCTGAAGAGCATCAAAGTAAGACTCGTGTGCCCGATGCGGAATATTCGAAAAGCAGCGACTCGTCCCTCGGGATGAAGATCAAGCTGTTCAAGACGGGCGATGCTTCGGTAGTGGAAACACCGCCTTCCAGTTCTTCCGAAAAGAAGGACAAACAACAAAGACGCAGGGACACTGCCGAATCGCCGCTGGAGATGAAGATCAAGCTGTCCAAGACCGGTCACCCCACTATCATAACCTGCGACAGTCACGGCGAATCCTCCACGCACAAAGGTAAAGATTCAGCAGCTGTGGATCCAGCGGTAAATTTCTCTCATAGGTATATGGAGCACGCTGCAACGCATAAGGAATCCCCATTGAAGATCCTCAAGACCGGCGGTCACCATCCGTCCATTCTGCAGAGCAATCGTTCTGAGCTAACAATCGAGCCGGTACAGATGCAGAGCAGAAAACAACCAGCGGAAAACGCCCAGCAGCAGATGGAGATATCGCCCAAGCGTAAAGACGTGACGATCTCGCCGGTTGAGAGCAAGAAGTCTAAACTTGAGGCGCAGCTCTCGCAGATCCTGCCGGAGGTCACCATCCAACCGGTAATATGTCGGGATCAGAAGCAGCAACAGCAGCAGCAGCAGCTGTTGTTCGATCCGAAGACGAGTCTAATCAGTCGACAGCAGATGAACGTGATCAATCAGGAGATCAGTATCACGCACGTACGGCCGGATAGCGCGTCCGACAAGTTTAAGGATATGTGCAAAAATTCGCCAGGTGGATTGTCGGATTGCGAGATCATCGAGCATCGCCCGGAGCTGATAATCGTCAACGAGAATTCGAACTCCAGCCAGGATGTTGTTATCATAGAGGAGGTGACACCTAACAGAATGGCCGATATCAAGGTGCCGAAGAAGAGAGGCAGACCGCGAAGAAATCCCGTGGCGGCGCAGCACATTCAGCCACAAATGCTAATGCCCAGGGATCCCTTGGCCTTGGACGATGTGCAGCAAGTTCCCGTGCAACAATTTGAACATAGAGAAAATGAGAGACCTAAGAGAACCTGCAGGAGTCAGAAGAGTTACGCTCCGCCAAAAAGAGGCAGAGGACGAGGTTTGTTTTTTTCATAATTAATATTTTATATATACATAAAACTGTAAGTAATTTATAAGTACTCAATTTTAGGAATTGATAGAACTTTACATCGCGAGAAACAAAAAAATCTTTTTTTTTTTTTTAATTTAAAAATTAATAATTTTACTATAATGTCAGATATAGAATAACTAACATGTCGAGAGTTCATCAGCAATTAATAAGTGACCTACGTTGTTGGTAATATATATACTACTGTATATATATTTTGTTATTTCAGTCTTGAACTATTCGTGATTTGAATAGTTTTAGTTTATATATGTTAGATCTGTTCTTAATTATATTTAAAGGACTAATTTGTAAATCAATTTTTTTCATATTTTGTGTTTTATATCTTACATAGATACTTCTCTCTTTTCAATTTAAATAAAAATTGTTTTAAATGAAAAATTAATAAACATCTATTTTATATATGAAAATATGCGAATGGAAATGCAAGACCAGTAGCAGAATTATATCGAAAAACTTTCTCAGACAGGAGATATCTTTATCCGTTTAGAAGAAAAAAAGGCATACTTTCCATTTTAATACTTATAGATATTTTAATATCTCAATAATTTCTTTTTAACAGAAGATATTAATTTTCCCTTTGTTATATCCAGGTCGCGGTAAACGGAAACTAGATAACGTGGAGGCTCAAATTGGGAAGAAGACTCGTATAGATCAAGACTTATCCGCTATAGAGGCATCAACAACGGCTATCATCACTATCGACGAAACACCAGTACAACAAGAATCACTTCAGAAATCATCAGAACTATACAAGGCACTGAAACAACCGCCCATAGATCGTAAAAGCATGAGTTCTGCGTTAAGTCGCAAAGAAGTGGGGAAAAAAGACTCTAAAGCCTCGAATTCTGAAATTTCAATGCTAGACCCTGCCAGATTGTCGTCCGATCTTCAGGAAGATCCGACGAAGGCATCTACGAGCCAGGATTCGTTAGTCTCAAAAACTGATGATCAGCATAAGAAACCGGCCTTGGAAATCGTTTCTGAGAGGATACAGAAGTCGACGGTAAAGCAACATGCCGAGAATAAAAATAAGATGTCGGATGGGATTAAGGAGATACCTGTACCTCCCGGACATTCGAATTGGCTAACGCCAACGTCGAAGAAGCAAGCAGATTCGACGGCCATCAGAGGCGAAACAGTGTCGACGGTACAAGTAATCGACGAAGAAACAAGAATGAGCGCCGAATCCGGCTCAAGGTCTCAAACACCGGCTAGAAATATACCAGCACCAAGTATGTATTTGCATTAATATTAATATATAATATAACATTAATATTATAATATGACAAAATATTATGCAATATCAAAGATGATAAACAGCGTCATTATGCCATTATTTATTACAATTCAACGATAGCGCAAAAAAACATCACTCATTCTTTTAAATTTTATATTATATCTTATAAAAGTATGTATACAAGTAGTTCTGTTCCACATAGAGTATATTTTAATAATACAGTTTAATATTTCTTATTTTATGTAGATAAAATTTCTACATCAACAGTATACATTATTTATTTTATTTGAAATATGTGTTGCAATTATGCTATGCTTAGCAATGCTAAAAACGCTCATATTAATTTCTACATTGATTCTACATTTATTTAATTATTTATATCTTTTCTTATTTTCTTGTTTGTAATCTTTATATTTTAAGAGCAATACCTTTTTGTTTAACTATATTTGATTTAAAAATATACTCTGTGCATTATGTGTGCAGAGTTATATTTTTATTAATAATATTACTTATTTATATAAGTGTCATTATATTAAAGTATTAATATAATTTTTATATTAATAATATAATTATTTATAATTATATAATTTTATATAAGAATAAATCTCTAGAAAAAATATTTTTATTTTTGTCATTGAAGAGTTGGTTGAATTGAATGTATTGGTACACATCCAAAACTTCAAGCTGGCTAAGAATAGATCTTTTCTTGTGGCATAAGATGTCTCTCAAGTAACTAAATACGAAATTTTAATGATGTGCTTAAATACGAGGCAGTGTACATCATTTCTTTTATTTGTAATATGTGTTGCAATTATGCTGTGCTTAGCGGCGCTAAAAACGCTCATACTAATTCGTATATCATCTATATAAATGTATATATACACATTATTCGTGTTTGTACATATTAGATTTATAAAAAGCATTTTTTTGAGTGTGTAAACTGTATCGATATGATTATGGTGTTCATGTTTCAAAATCCTAAGCTGTATTGTAATGAACATTATCTACATTTAGAATGCATTGAAGATATTTAAACCAAGAAAAAAATATTTAATAGAATAATATGTTATAAGAAATATATTAATTTATTAAAATCATAACAAAGTACGAATCTTTTACTATATCTATCAATATAACATTGACGTCAGAGATATATGTAAGAAAAAGCTGTGTTAGAAAATATGTAATGAAAAATGTTTTTTGTTCACTCAGTTAATATATGAGAACTTATATGAAAAGCGATGATTTATTGACTGCATTTTTCTATATAGAAATGAATTTTTTGCAGCTTCGGAGACAATAATAAATGAAGAATCTCAAGGTAGCGTCTTGAGCACTGCTACGACAGAATCAGAAAAAGTCAAAGTAAAGAACCGAAGGATGGAGATTAATTTTGATCCCGATGAAGGACCTTTCACTGTTGATAAAATAGCAGAATACGAATGGCCACTAGATCGAAAGGGTGAAACCTTTATGATACAGGAACAGATATCACAGTATCTTGGCGTGAAATCTTTTAAGCGTAAATATCCTGATCTGAAACGCAGAGTAGTTGATATGGAAGAGAGAAATTATTTAAGAGAGAATGGATTAGTCAGTGAATCGATGTGCGATATGGGTAAGTTTATAATCTTTACTCATTTTTTTGTTGAAGGAGATTTTCAGATAATATGGAAAAAAAGTTCACTATTATTAAGATTTTCAAGATTTATAACGAAATTAGAACAATAATTTACTCTTATTATTATGCATTTATGTTGCTATATCATTTGTACAGGATTAACTGCGGTGTGCAGCTCAGAAGTACTAGATGTAATGTGTAGTGATTTCCCCGATCAGTACGAAGAATATCGCAAACATATGCGCGAGAAGCAAGTCAAGGAACATTCCAAGAAACAGAAGGAACTGACAGCGGCTGCGAATGCGGAAAGAAACAGGATAGATCTCGCGGAAATGGCAATGCAGTCCGCATTTGCGTGGAACGCTAACTTAAATAAAGCTCGCAAAGAGCAGCGCAAATACTGTTTAGATCTGCAGACTTTCACGATTCATCAACCGCAGAAGCAACACAAAGGCGAACCGGAGCACAAAGTTGGTCATTATCCTGTTGCTCTAATACCAGGACAGTATACCGATTATTATCGGGAATATACACCAGCGGAATTGAGATACTATCCGCTGAATACGGTCTTGTATGGACCTACACGACCTAATGAGCGAAAAAGTGATAGTCAGTCGGAAGGTTCTCAGAGCGACAGCGATAGTGAATCATCTTCCGATGATTCAAGGTTGGTAGCGACATTATAAAATATTATATAGTTTATTTTTAAGATTTAAAATAAATTATTGTATATATGAATTATCTTAAAGTAATTTCATAATTTATTAAATTAGTATTAAAATTGTATCTCTTCGACCAAATTAATTTTATTCTGTATTGATTGTCAGTTACATGCTTGAAAAGGGCCCGATCCAAGGGTCGAAACGTCGCAGGGTTTTGTAATCATTGTCAATCATTAGTCGATAACAATAAATGTTTCGTATCTCAAAGTAAGATGCCAAAATTTGCAAGCGCACTTTTCGAGCAATTTAGAATTTAATCACGTAATGCTCTTGATTTATAATTAATATTAATATTAATTAGTAAGTTAATATTTACACATAATATAAATAAGTGAAAAGTATAATTTATAATGATTATATTCGAACAGTTCATCCTCCAGTGAAGGTACGCAAGATACGGAAGGGTCTCAATCGACCATGGACGAAGTGGACATGGAAATCTCGAACTCAAAGGATGATGCAAAATTGAAATGCAAGATGTGCCTGAAAGTTTTAAATAAACACAACAAGAACGAAATATTAATCCAATGTGGTACTTGCAATGGAAACGGTAAATATTACATTGCGAATTAAATCGCGTTGTAACTCTTTACGGAGAGCTAACCGAGGCCGTTATCATTTTCAGTTCATCCATCCTGTATAGATTTAACATTGGATATGGTACCACACATTCAATCGTATGCATGGCAATGCACTGATTGTAAAACGTGTGCGCAATGTCACGATCCCGCAGACGAAGACAAAATGCTTTTCTGTGATATGTGCGATCGTGGGTATGTTGCATTTACTTGAAAACTCGATACACGCTATATATTACGAAACTGTCGATGCCTTTAATGTCTGTTTTATTAAAGAGAAAAAAGACAGTATACATAAAATGAATTATAATTTCTATAAGTAGAGTTTTGCGACATAGAGCCGTAAATTAATTACTATTTGGAGTTTTTTACCTAATATAATTTGATGCCGCGTGTTTCAGATACCATATCTATTGTGTTGGTTTGCGACGAGTACCACAAGGAAGATGGCACTGTCAGGAGTGCGCCGTATGCGCGAACTGCGGTTCGAGGGAGGCCGGCGGTGCCAATTCGGATCGAAACAGCGTTGCGCAATGGCAGCACGAATATAAAAAGGGCGAGAAAAATACTCGGGTATATGTCTCGACGCTCTGTGTACCATGTTCGAAGTAAGTACAGTCAATCATCAATTCCTCCAAACCACGCTGGGCTTTAATTGCTTGATAATCTCCATGGCTCACACCATAACACTTTTTCAACATCTTTTCTTTTTCGTTGTGTCAGATGCGGGATGTTCAGTAATAGATACACTTGACGAACCGAATGATATTCCTTATCGAGAATTAAAATCAATTTTTCTTGTTTTTAAAATTTGATTAAATCCTACAACCCTTACAATTTTAAAGTTTTAAGTACTTTGAAGTAAATGCGCCTCTTTACAGCCTTGAATCAAAATTCTCTTAAAATCAAATTGTGGTTAAATGAATTAGATAAAACTGATTGAAATTAACTAAAAAAATAAATATTTTTTTCTCTTCCGTTCTTGTATTATAATTTGTCGAAATACTTGTTTGATCAGTTATAAGTCGAGAACCATTCTCGACGGTCTTTAGAGAAAGATCTTTACGGCCAGATTACGTGAAAAAGAGTGTATTAGCACGTGACATCTTTAATTCGCCTTTCCCCTTTTTTCCATGTACCGAGCACCACCATAATACATAATATACCCTTACCTGAATTCACTAACCACATAATCTTTATGCGATAACAAGGCTGTGGCGAAAGGGTCGCTATTGCCCGCACTGCAGTCGCTGTCATACCGCCCAAAGGCTCGACCTGGAAGCGAATCTAGTGCATTGCAGCGCATGTGACAAGTATCTGCACTTAGGTATTGACACCAAGTTTTCATATGATTCGGTTAGTTTAACATTTTGAGCGGCGAGCACACGCAATTTCGCACATTAACGTGAGCAAAAATCATTTGGCAAACATTACACGAGCTTATCGAAAACTGATTTTGATCAATGAAATTAATAAGCCAATGGCTACATAAATTCTCAGAATAATTGCAAGAATAGTATTGCGAGCCACAGAGCTTAACTTTCAGCAAGCGCTCAAAATGTTAAGTCCATTGCATGTTGCGACATAGGAGCATTTGAGCATTTGCACGCGCCATCGAGTTTTGTTTGATCATCGCTATTTTAAAAGCCGTATTTAAATTATTTGCTGTTTAGTGCGTACATATGTATATTTGCATTTTTATCTTTTTCCTCTACCAAATGAGAGTTACAAATTTTAATAGGTACCATAGTGCAAAAGTGTTTAATTGGATTCAACATATTGTCTATCTTCATTCGTCTGAAGAATTTTTGAAGACTCTATCTGAAGAATCTTTATTTTTGAAGAATCTTAATTTTTTTTATTAACATCATTATTTACTTCTTGATGATATTCTTGCTTTGGGTCGTGACATAAAGAATCTTAAAGGAAAAAAATAATCTGCTTAAGATAAAAATATCTCTGTTCTTACAGCTACTGTCGCGAAACGTTATGGTATATCGGCACAAAATGTATATGTAATCACGCATAATTTTTTTCAGAATGCGTGGAGACCAAGGGAGTAGTGGTTGACAAGAAAAATTATCTATGTGATTTCTGTACACCGTCGACCAGCCAGCACGCGATAAAGCCTTTAATGTCGAAGGTGCTCAAAACGTGAATATGATTATTGTAACATTGTCGTACGCGAGACAAAAAAAATATCGAGTTGTATAATACCAATGCCAGTGCAGTGTATATTAATTATATATTATATTAAAGTAAATAAGTTTTTTATTGAGTGCGTTTGTGAACAGATACGCGCAAGATTTTCTTCTGGAGTACTTCATGACAAACGAATTACATTGTACATAGCTGCGGAAAATGAGTCATTTAACTTTTAATTATGAATTTTTAATGTATTATTTACCGCAAGATAAAATGTGAATTATTTAGCAAGAAAAAGACTGAATGTGTTTAGTTTCGACGACGTGTCAAAATTATGAGATACATACAGAGTATACGAGAAATCGCGCACTTTCCCTTGATTATAGGTTCTCTGGCGAATTTGAAATTGATTTTTGTACATCGTGAGCTTGGTTAAACATCCTTTTTGTAACTCTCCTTTTGCATACAGTATTTTAAAAAAATTCTTTATAAAATAAAAAATATGTCGTCACATATTTATTAAATTGCATCGTATTTTATCATTTATAAAAATATAAATGTAAAGTAACAGCTATTATTCTTCACATAACCATTATGAGATCGAAAGCAAGCGATTTTCTGTAACGTTCTGTATAGGTAAAATTATTTATGTAAGAATCTAAATTTTGTTATGCAATCGTGACAAAACGAGTGAAATTTTACAATCAAATACAGGATAATATATATAATTTATTTTTAATAAATATATATATTAATATATATATGTATTAATAAATAATAATAAATTATATATATTATTAATATAATTCTTCTTGAAAAGTTTAACCATAAATATTACACTAAATTACAAATTAACAAATTACAAAGACTGTATTTTTTTCTTCGTTTCCGAAGAGTGTGAAATACTATTGGGTAAATTTGTGCTCTTGCATTTTTTTCAATTTACCAACTCTGATATTCCCGAAGAGAAACAACCATATCAGTAAACCAGACAGTTGATGTCTTTTCTGTCGATCACTACATAACATATATGTAGAAACAGAAGGGAAAGAAATAAAATGTGAAACTAAACAGAAATAGCGATTTCTTAAAAATATATATCATTCTCTTTATTCTTCTTTTGCGACATAATCCTCGGATTAGTGTTCTGTTGCGGGAGTTAGATGCGAATAAACATCTTTTTTTTGCATGTGTTTTTACATACTTATCATTACATAGTATCCACATTTTGAACAGTGCGCTCTTTCTCTCCTCGCTGTCAAAAATCAATTACGATATATTTTTATATAAGATCGTGTTAGATTACGTTGCATTATGTACACATACAGAATAACGATAGTAATTGCGACTGTTTAAAAAATGAGCAAGTTGCAAAATATAAACTTTGGCATATCGTTGCATCAACCTTGTATAATATTACGTCAGAATAATCTTAGTAGAGTTTGTATTGCAATGCAATCTGTACAAGATATTTCTAAACAGTGCATACGCGCGAAGAATGCAGAACTGCTGTATCTTACACCGAGTTCGCCGATTTCTCTTTCCGGTTTCTGGGCGATGCCGTTCCCGTGGCGCAGACAATCGATCGGTAATACAATTATGTAGCAATATCGGCAGCATTAGTGACAGCAAAGAACATCGTTGTGAAGAAGAATATATATAATACGTTCCACGTTGTGCTCTGCGTTCCAGTCCCATTAATAAATCATACCGAAGACACCCACGTGGTGCCCTGTAATATCTTCCTCGCGACAACAAACGTCCCTTTTTCCTTTCCTTCGTTTAGAATTCGAGTAAATGTCGAGTGTTATTTTAAAATGGCTGTGCACAATTTAATATCGTTTAGAGAAACATCACACACGTTAATTAACATTCCGCACATGATTACATCATAAAGTAACGGTGTACTTTGAGCAAAAGAAAACGAAACGTGTCATAGCATAATCAGCAGTACAAGTCGTACGAGTATTATTATACCTAACGTGTAATCGCGTTGTTAAAGAGCACTTATGCGCTAAACGGGGACGGGCTCACAGCTCAGAATTGCACTTGACCCGTCATTGACTAGTAGTACTCGGTATACAAGATAATATAGCGTCTGTTTCCTTTCAGCTGCACTTCGCTGCTGTTTCTATTCAAAAAGGAGCAGGCTGTATTTTCAGGCTTCGAAGGGCTTGCGAGAAGATGCATAAAAGTGCAGCTAGAAGAAACAGCGATGTAACTACATCGTCAGAGTAAATGTCGAGCGAACAGCCGTGTCTCTCGCATGAAACGCGAGAAGTACTCAAATACGCCCACCGAACGTCAGTGAAGCAAAATAACATCGAGAATCATTTGCACACGTAGGAAAACTTAATGATTAACGCCGTCGCAACGCTGCAACCTCTTTCCCTCGAGTAGCGTTGGCTTCATAACGGCCGAAAAATTGAAGCGATAACTGCAAAAAGACGCATAAAGCAATATATCGCAGTTTTTCGAAAAAAATACACAAAAATTTACACAATTTTGTGATTGTAATTCAGAGCTAGTAAAAATATAGTTGCCTCCGTGCGTGAGTATTCTATAAAATAAAGCGAAAAACTTTAAACACGTTTTTTTCGATGTCAAAATAGCCCTCTTACTTACGTACTGTTTTTTTCAAGCATTAATTTTTTTATCCTAAATGTGCGCTCCAATTCCGATGAATAATTGACAGTGTAAAAAATCATTTTGAGTATTCACTCGTGCCTAATACCATATATAGATAACAAAGTACTGAAATTGTGTAAGTGAGTAGCCGGTATAATGGTGATCACTAAATTCTGCGTAGAAAACTTCGATAGGACGTTATGAAGGAAGTTTGGGCCCGGAAAGCTCCCGACTTTGTAAAATATTCGCAAATTACACGTTGGATTTACACTTTGCGAGCCTTTCCTGAGTTTACACAATAGATAATCAAAAGCCTCCGATAATTCATTTGCATTCCATTCAGTGGATGGCAAACTCGCCTCCGTTGTCAAATTACCAGTTGAATTAGATGAACCTGTGCACAGAAATTTCAAACTTAAAAAAATGCTTTCTTAAATTAAAAAATTTTTTTAAATTTACGAATTGAATTCTAAATGTAAAAAGTTAATAACTGATATTAATAATCGGTTGATTTATTATTATCCTACTAGTATTTCACTTTTCTAAGATTCTTACTATTTAAAAAAAATATATTTTTCAGTTTTTCATATATTTAAAATTGAGAACAAAATATGTTACATTTATAAAAAGAAGTTTGAATATATGTGTTACGGGTAAGCGATTTATCAAGAGAAACTTACCGGTAGACATGTAACATACAATCGCCGAAACATTATTTTCGTAATTCCACCTACGTCTGATGGCTATCCTAAAATTAGCCACACATTTTCCTGTTTCCTCGTCTGCAATAAATAATAAGACATATGTAACAATTATATACATACACATCGCTAATTTCTGAATTAACTAGTAAAAAAGAATACTTGCTGCAAGTTGTGTTGAAAAAAAAAACAAAAAAAAGAAGAAGAAAAAAGATAGAATAGATTCCTCTACTCAACTTGCAGCAAATATATCTTCCTTGTTAGACAAACTTTGAATACTCACATTCGAATCGATTATTATCCCTATGAGCCCAAACACACCACTCGACCTGAGCACCACGTGGCAAATTTGGTATAACAACGTAATCTACGATAGCATTTCTCGTCCTCCTTTCCCATTCTTTCCTCGCATCTGCTATGTAACTAGAATGGGTCAGGAAACAGATGCCTTGTACTATATCTCGAAGTTTTGCATCCATAGCCTTAACGATGCGATCTATGTGCCTCAACGTTAAACGGCACTGCCGTTTAATATTCATATCTAGAAGATTCATATTGCCAGGCACCAAAGGTATTTGCCCAGCAACTAAAATAACATCACCTACCTGTAGAGAAGATTAGATTTGTAATAAAACAAATTCAAACAAATTGCCTTAAATTTTTAAATATAAAAAATACAAAAAGATTAAATAATGAAAGAATTTAATACTTTAAGATCAATTTTTTCAAAAAATACTTAACAAAAAATTGATCAATTATCTCTTATAAAAATATCTTTATCACATGTTAATTGTGCACTTACACGAACAGCTTGAGAGTAAGGGCCAATATTGGCGGGTGCCCAATGACTTATGCTTTGAACATGCATCGTGTGCCGCTTACAGACCAATTTATCGCCGCTCTCTTGGATTTCCTTATATGCTATCGCGTCGAGTGCGAAATGTACGTTCAAAGGACATTCTACACACACACGAACTGGCGGATTTCTTTTACCCAACCAGGAAACGTATACTTCATTTATAGCCTTGTAATTCGACATATCTTTTACGTACAACGTTACCGCGACTATGTCAGATGGGCACAAATTTTCGTTTTGAAGCAGAGCTACAATTAAACAAATATCACGTATGAAAATGATTAATTTATATCGTTTTCTTGTATCATCAATTAAATTTAGAATAAGAAATAATTGTTAATATTGAATAATTACTAAGCCGAAAAGTATGCGATTAAGATGTAAATTTTACTGCTTAGTTTTTCCAGTGCTTCTTCCACAGCGGGTGTTACGTCCGGATGTTTCCCTACAATACCTCCGAACCAGAACCATCCTGTTTGATTTTTATTGACGACCGGCGCGTCTGGACAATCTTCCTCTTCGTACAAAATCTCCATTGGGCTTGGAGGATGAAACTGGCCTGTATAATCAGATATAATACAACATTATATACATATATACATAAATATACCTTTCACATTTTTTTTCTATAATTTTCTACCTGAGTTCGATGCTTTCAAACTATTGCTTTCACACGCATGCTCGTCATTTTCATCTTCTGATAAATTGCAACCATCGTGTAGCTCAGGCCCGATAATTTCTGCAATGTAATCCTGTGGCGATTTTATCAAAACATTTTTTAGTCTTTCCGATAGACTTAACTTCTCCAATTCTCCATTCTAAAAAATAAGTCTTCACTTTGATGACACTTGACAGTGTCTTACAATTATCGACGTGATATCCAAAAACTTACGTCCTTCTCCTGTAAGTGGATCTTTGTAAATCTGAGATATCCTACAGGCGCTATGTCGTCCCTCGAGTTCACAACGCTCTCATACTCCTCGCTGAGCCATGAAAAAAGAAATAAGGAACGGTTACTCAGATTGTACATACATAAATGCAAACATATGATACTTACATTACGATACTTTTGGCAAACAAGGGGCAATCTAAGGTAAAAGTTTCATATTCTCCTCCTTCTCCACACATGTTAACTCCATATTTTTCTTTCTGCAAATAAGATTTATAGACTTTATAGCTTTATTAAAAAATATATGAAGCTATTTCCAGCTTTGTCTCATTATATACTCATATGAACATAATAATCAACATATATTAAATGCTATTACAAAAACACTAAGAAGTCTTAGCAATAAGCAAAGAATAAAAATTAAATCATTAAGATCATTACCACACAATTAATTGAATAAGAAACAATATATGGCTTACTATCTTAACAAGGTGAGGTTGCATTTCACATATAGATTTGCCCAAATGTTTAATTTCAAGGCCTAAGGCCGCAACTTTGATCAATATTGCATTAACAGAGCTCTGTATCATTTCATCTAATAGCTCATTCTGGTCCCGTCTCCACAAGTACGACAAGGAAATAAGACCTAAACGATTGCATCTAAAAGAGGAATATTTGGAAAAAAAAGAATATTAATAGCAGCAACTAACAATATTACAGATTTAAATAGAAGAAATAAGTGATAATTACACATTTTCCACACGAATTCGTTGATAATCACTAAGAATAGCACCGCTTGACACAGCCTCTATATTTTCACGTTCCTGAAAAAATATATTAAAATTATTAGAATGCACACAGATATTGATATCGCATATATATCTCAGAAAATACTGAAGTTAATTTACCTTTACTGTACTCAAAAGCTTAAAAAGATCCTCGACTTCATCGCTTTCCGTAGGATAATAATATTTCTCTTGCACGTTGGCCTTACCGAACGTTGGGTAACGATATATAGGCAAGCCTATAGCTTGAGCAATGTACTTAACACCTTGATGTCCTACTGTTTGAAACATAAACGAATCCAGATCATCTAAAAGCAGAAAGTTAAGCAACTCCTGTTACATCTGCATAAATTATAATATCTATAACATAAAAAATTAACTACAATACGTCCATAAGTTACACTCAGTTAAAGTCTTAATTTTTTTGTATAACATTCTTTAGCAATATATAATTATTTCGCACAGTACGTGTATTTGTCTCAATACCTTTTTCAACAGGATACAAATTAGCTAGAGCCACGATCTCATGGCCAGCTGCCACACACTGCATCATATTGAAGCAAGAGTCTTTGCCACCGCTGATCAATGCAACGACCTTCATCTTTTTATCGTTGATCCTGCTTGGGTCTCTTCCTTAAGAAACAGTTACGACTAAAATTAAAGCTGATTTATTGTTTAGACAATCATCTGCAATAAAAGTGAAACGAGGGTACATATAAAAATAACTTTCATATCTGTGTTTTATATCTTAAGAGCTACAAAAATTTTGAGATATCAGATTGAATTTTTTTTAATTGACAGAGTATCATTAAATCAAATAAAACAGAATTTACATTTCCAATTTGTTATATTTTTGAAAGTATTTTATTGCACATTAATCTAATAAAAATGTATTAAATAATGTGATAAAAATAGAATGTAATATTAAACGCTCGGTGTATATATATATATGTACATATACGTATATACATATATTCTCTCTGTGCAGCGCATATATCGCATATTTACAATTTATGTAATCACGTGGGACAGATATACGGCAGGATTTTACAACGGCAATAATAAGACATTTCGGACCGTTTGCGCAATAAAACACAATTAATAAATTGTTCATCGGGGGCATTTGAGCGCAATGGGGCATAAAAGCTGTCGCGCATCGGCAGATGTGCCGACTGAATGAATGAATGGAGCTGCCGACGTAAACAGTGGAAAATGCAAGGCGCCGAGAACGGGGTGCGAATTATTTATTAATATATATAACAGTGTCAGCTAACGAGCGACAGAATTTATCGCGGGGGGCCGCGGGCAGCGGCGACACGCCGACGATTCCCCGTATCTTCAATCGACACCGGATGTTAGATCGGTAAACGGATCGCGACGGCCGTATCGCGATAGAGGGATTTATCGCGCGACGGCGAGAAACCGTGGTGCCTGCGAGAGACGGGCCTTTTTGGTTATCGCGGAGAACGGATACGCGCGAGGCGAGGAGAGCGAACGGCGAGGTGACAGTGGGCGGCGAGCCGCGCGGGCGAGCGCGAGCCCGACGATCGCGGCGGAACACGCGGTGGAATCGGCTCGGAGTCCTCGATAAATGTGATATTTACGTTAAATCGGTGGCGAAAACCTCTCACACGGTACAGTCGGCAGCCCATGGGAGACTGAAGACTGATGGGGCCATAGACGACGGGAGACTGGAGCAGAGGAGTGCGACAACCGCGACGGTGGCGCCGCGGCGAGGCGGCGTTCGACTCGAGAGAGCGTCGAGCTCGATTGAGGTTATCTCGGATATTGGCAAATTGCGCCGGTTAAATTGGCGACGATCGTTATGATCGAGTCGCGGTTTCCTCGCGGGCGACGAGACGACGTCGTTTCGCGCGTTAAAGGCGACGTGACTGCTCGCGTGACGAAAATCTACGGACGAAAGTGACCACGGGGTCGAGAGATTCACGGGTGAACCGTCGCGCGATCGTACACGCCGCGTGACATCATCGACGCGACGGACCAATCGCGGGCATCGCTAGGCCACAATTGCTACATCCGTTAATTTTGTATATACATATATGTTTGATTTGATTATTTTATTAATTATTATATTCTACATATTGAAAAAACGAAATATTCAGCTGCCAATGATTATAACGCAGAATAATCGTTCTTACTAGTCTTGTTTCTTTATGTCATTATTTGGAGACAAAATAAAGTGTGCGGCTAAAAAATCAATTTATAAAGTAATATTCGTAGGTAAAATTATAGAAGTTAATAAATTTTACACGTGTTTTAGGAACTCTTTTTATTATTTAGAATTATTGCCGCACGGCGCTCTGGTGTTTCTATTGACACTGCGTGGATTGCCGGAGTATTTCCGGTACTCATATCGATATCGAAGTGCCATGAACTTTAAATATGTACAAAGGGATTAGCTTATCTTGTTTTCGGAACATTCCGAGCGGCCGCATTATCTAATGCATCTTCAACGAAAAATCATTGCGGAATCTTTTTCAACGATCGATGTTTGTAGAGTACGTCGATTCCCGATACGATAAAATATATTGCAGTACTATGAGAAAAATCTCACTACAAAATCGCATTTCTTTGTGCAAAAATTTTCGCACAAGATTATTGCTTTCAGGTTAATTTATAATTAAGAAATTTATTATATATTATTTTATATATATAAAAATAAATATTATTATATATATAAAAAATATTATCAATATCATTATATATAATTATATTATAATTAAAATATGCTTATATAATTAATCGCAATAATTTTGTTCTTAAATTTTTCCATGAAAAACTCAAGCATCCAGCACGTAACAACATTTGGAACGTTCGTTACGACACATATGGCGTATGCCATCTTTCAAATTTCAACCCACGTTCGCCATTCGTCCGTCGCTCGTACACGACGCATGTTCAACGGGTTCAACGTGTATTCGATGACGAAGTAACACCTGAGAATCGGCTCGCGCCTCGCCTCGCGCCGCTCGCGGGCCAGTCTCGTATACGCGTGTCCGCGGTCGAGCGTTCATTCGAGATACGGAGTGTCGGTTTCGCTCTTGCACCGGGATTTCGGGTTCGCGCGGAGGTGGAAGAAAATCGTCGGGCGAAGGAAACGAAAGCGGGAGGTGCGAGGCGAATCTCGGCGGTTTATCTCGGGGGACAAACGGTTCCCCCCTCGCGAGAAATCGCGAGTCGTCGCCACGGGAACCTGGGCTCGAGCCATCTTATTTCTCCCAAGCGACGCCGCCGGCCAATGAGGTCGCGCGTGGTGGCCGGCCATTTTACTTTCGCTACGATCGCGCGAAACGGCAGCTGAGGGATCTCTGGTCGGTGCTCCGTACCGTCAATACCGTCATGCAGTTTCGTGAAGGATCGTAAGCAGGGAGGCAGTTGGGCACTGATCTGGGCACGTCCGCGGTGGGCTTGCCGTTATACCTGGGGCCGTCCCGCGTCGCGCTTGCAGCGGCCACCGGCGAATCCGCGCCGCGAGCTCCGATCGAACGAGCGAACGTACGGCCAACGATGGTCCTGGCGGAGAGGAATTCGGAAAATGTGCGTAACGGCCGCCGTTCGCGAGGCCCCAGCCCCAACGCACAGACCGAATCGTCCAGCGAGGAGGAAGGAGGTATCGTCTATTCTCATCTCGCTGTCGAGACGCGACGTCTCGATCGCCGATTATCGACGACGTTTGGCCCCCACGAAAGATGTTTAAAGACTCGCTTTCGGGTATTTTCGAGTCAGAAATAACGAACGGTTTTGCTCCGTTCTCGAAACGGAGTAAAAATCCAAGAGAGTCTTCAAACGGCGCGCTCGTCGCCGTTCAAATGTTCTTTCGCAGTCGCGAATATCTTTTGGAAAATCGCAAACTGTTATTTCATATAGAAATTTTCTCTAAAGACATTTTATAGTAGCACCATAACGTGCCAGGATGGCGTTTTCTATATACATATGGAGATCTTGACGGAAAACTAACCATGATTAATTTGAAACGAATAAATGTAGAGACTCATACATTATTAATAGTCTTTTGATCGGTCATAGTTCATTGAAGTAAGCGCGTTACGTGACGGACGTATCTTCTTTTACTTATTTAAATGTTGCGTAATACTGAAAATTTCTCTTTTAAGTTCCAGCAGAGAAAATAAGAGTTGGACGAGATTATCAGGTTGTCGTGCCAGAATTTGTCCCAGTTAATGGTACTTTGCAATCTTTATTCTAAAAATGCTGATTTTTTTTAGACAACGATTCATGCTCAACCTACTGTTATTTATTACGTATTTCAGAACGTCGATTGGATCAGTGTCCTGATAGGGCGTTATTAGTTTGGTCACCCACCACGGATATACCGGATCAGAAATGTAAGCTGCAATCTTATGCAAACCAGTCACAGTTTGTACAAATAAATGTCGATGACTAAATGCATTTTGTCTTTCTCAGTGGACGAGTATATCATATTGGCTAAGGAGAAGTATGGTTACAATGGAGAACAGGCATTGGGAATGCTGTTTTGGCATAAGCACAATTTGGAGCGCGCGGTTCTGGATCTGGCGAATTTTACACCGTTTCCAGACGAGTGGACGGTCGAAGATAAAGTACTGTTTGAGCAGGCGTTCCAATTTCATGGCAAGAGTTTCCATCGCATTCGACAAATGGTACGTAATGATATAGATGATTTTATGATATTTAGGTTACTTAAATTATCTAATTTGTACTTATTACACCATTCTATGAAAAATTAAAACTTGAAACGCATTAACGAACTAATAATATTCGAAATTGCAGGACCTTGATAATCTTGTGACACGTTTGAAAAATGTAAAGATTTGCAAATTTAATACATAGTTTATTCAAATCAGTAAATAAAATTTACAGGAATAGAAGTAATTAAACAAAAAAAATATTTTGATATAAAATTAAAGAAGTCGTCAGATTTTTCTAAAAACATTAATTGCTCATTATTTCTAATTAGATTCTTTGTTATCGACAAACACATAATTATCGTAATTATAATTTACAAAAATTGATCAAGTTTATGTTATGTCTTGTTAGTGCTAATGTAAGTAACATTAGAGTTGCTCTGAAACAAACATGTACATAAAATATCATTAAGTATTATACATATTTATAGAAAAATTCAACTAAAGAATTCAAAAAATTGAATTTGTATAGTAACGAAAAGAAAGAAAGACTATATAATAAGATGAAATATTAAGATTGAGATAAATAATTTACTCTCAATAATTTTTGTACAGCTACCTGATAAATCTATCGCGAGCCTCGTGAAATACTACTACAGCTGGAAGAAGACGCGAACTAGAACATCATTAATGGACAGGCAAGCACGTAAATTGACGAGCGGCTGTAAAGAAGGCGAAAACGGCAGCGAAAATGGAAGTGAGCTTGGTTCTAACACAGATAGCGAATCTGAAGAAAAAGTAAGGATTCTCTGAATATAATTTGAATAATAAATTTTTATGCATGCGCTCCATTCTTACATACCAAAATTTTTTGTTTTCTTTTCTGTGATTTTAACACATAGATAAATCTAAAGGTGCAAAATCTAAAACAGAATAATTAATGTTTAACGTAATAATTGTAGTAGAGGATGACCCTGTCTGTTTGTATAATTCTTCGTAATATTCGATATACATATATACGTTAATAACTCCCTCCTTCCCTTAATTCTGTAACAGATATATTTCTTCGTGTAATAAGCTTACTGCTCTGGCTATTTCATACGATTACATTGCAAATTGATATGCTGTCATGGCACAAATTGGTAATATAAAAAAATCGCAATTGTTTGAAAACTTGCTAAGTTATAAAAATGTATCCACACGATAATACATTATAAAAGCAAGAAAGCGAAGCTATGATATCAATGGCGGCAAGAAACTAGCAGATTGCTATAAATATCTTATATATGTAAACATAGGGTACACAATTTATAAGTGATAAATTTGAAAAATTGTGTTACTCTTTTTCACGTGTTGAGATTCAATCTATCTAAATGTTTTGCACGTAAAAAATAAGCAATAGTTAGACGTCGGTATGTGAACGTAAATGTGGAACGTTCCAGAAATGGACGATCCACCGCGGAATACGTCGTGGAAAGAACCAAGCTGTGCCAGGAAGCCAAGGCACTGACGCTAAGGCCCCATCCGACTCGGAAAACGCCCCTCAGGTTCAGGTACTCAGCCTAAACCTTACCCACTCGTATATATAATAGTATAGTTAGCTTAGCTTTTTACTACTGTGTTTTGTTATTTTCAATGTATCACGTGTATTATTGCTACACTGGCATAAGTATATATTTATATATGTTCTCTCCTCTTGTCAAAATTCCTCGTGATATTGAAATTCCTCGTAACATTAAAGTTCCTTGTGATATTGAAATTCCTCGTGATATTGAAATTGATAGGCTGAAATCTTACTGAGGAAACGAAGTAGAAAAATTCGAATTATGGAATATTTAATTCATGAAATTGGCTCGACCAATACCATCGTGAACAGTCGAGCGAATTATGAGAGACACAAAAATTGACATGATGTTGTAGAGAACGGAACACAAATCACTTGAATAATTTTTCTTCTAATTTGCTCTCTTGACATTCAAATACAACACGCGATGATGAATTACAAAGTGGGAGTGTGGGTGGGAGGGTTATCAAAATTTTGTCTTAAAAGGGTGTTATGTGTTGTAGGGCTCGTGTAGCAACTGTGGCGTTGCATGCCATAGTGTCCGTGCGACGCCCAAGGGACACGCGTGTCATAGCTGCTATCTACATTGGAGGTCAGTGAACGTAAATTAAATGCCAATGCCAATGATTGCAAATAGATAAATCTTATTCTACGTAATTCAATAAGCGCCAGAGAGGATATTTATATGAGAAATAAATTAGAAGCTGAATTGAGATGACTTTTTCTTCAATCAATAATTCTGATTTAAAATGTTTTTCGTTATAGACAATACGCGTATGTTTGTTCGTATTTAAGCAACCGAAACTTATGAATATCCTTGGAAACTCGCTTATCCCACCTATCTCGTTTTAAACTATATTTCCATTAGTGGTACTTAGTGATTTTAGTGACATTGAAATACAATGTAGATTAGCATCCACATCCTTAAAATCATTCTACGTTTTCTGATGGTTTAGGCGCACCGGTGTAGCAAGACCGTTAACTTCCATGCCGGGTCGTACGAATAAAAGAAAACCACCCCGGGGCTTGGTTGTGAATCACGATGATTTGGCGGCTTTGGCTGGTCAACCAAATCAGGCCAACAACAGTTTGCAAGCTATCGATACAGAGATCGTTAGCTTAAAACGTCAAGTATGTTAACAAGTAGAAACGAAAAGCTTGCAATATGACGTGTGGATACATTTTTCTTCATTTTTTTATATAGTCTACAAACGAATCATGAAAGCATATGCAAACGCTCGCATTTGAAACTGTTAACAATTGAAATATGTTAGACTGAAATTAAAAAAAAAATATTATAAAGCTTGAGATTGCGGACGCTACGGTGCTTTCGTGATCAATGCATTTTATCTTTTTATTTAAAATATAATTATGTTATTTATGTCGCATAACTAGTTTATAATGTTATATAATTTATTCGAAATTGCACAGATACAAGCTAATAAACAACAAGTGAGCGCACTGAAACGAAAGACAACCGATGGTATCGACCATCTACGACCGCCGGAAGTGACAAGCCGTATAAATGCGCGTTGGACAAATGACGAACTGCTATTAGCTGTTCAAGGCATTAGAAAATACGGAAAAGATTTCGCTGCAATTGCTGAAGTCATTGGAACAAAAACTGAAGCTCATTTGCGATCATTTTTCGTAAACTACCGACGAAGATATAACTTGGACGCAGTTCTAAAGGAATTTGAGGCTGAAAATGGTCCCATTCTTATTGATGATGAAAAAGAAGAAAAGGTACAAAATATGATGCATCGTATATTTCGATATTATAAAAAGTGTATCAAGAATATTATTTTGATTATCATAAAATCGATTTTTTCTCCGTGAAGATATCGGAAGATGAAAACGAAAAAAATCTTCTCTTGTTCAATGAAAATAAAAGAATTACTATTCTTTAAAAATTATCTAAAAAGTATTGCTCTATGACAAGTATTTAAATTTTAAGTAATACAAAATTAAATTGGTCAGAATAAATTTAATTCGAACTTTTTTTGTTGTACTTAACCTTCTGTTTAAAATCTGTTTAGATCGAATATTGATTTGAAGCTAATAATTTAATGAAAATTTTAGATGGATGTTGATCAATCAAATGATACTGCGGAGTCGTCTCAGAAAGGGAAAACTTCCACTGGGCCTGGACAAGCTGCTAAATAACAAATGAGTATAATCTCAAATTCAAAACGGGAAAAGAACAACTGCAGGCTCAGTGATAACCGATAATAGCTTGTTGATTGATTAAATTTGCCATTTAATCCATTGAGTTTCTTTTTTTTTTTAAGTTTTACTTATTGTCTCAATCAAGAGTAATATGGAACACAAGAATTCACTTTAAAAGATTCAAATTTCACTGCATGTGTGTGTGTTACGGTAATTTATGTGTATATGAATTCCATAAGATCAGACAAATGATGTTCATGTTAAATGATGTATATGTTAATAATTATATTATCACAATATGATAATTTATAAATCATCATAATTTGTAAATTATCATAATTTGATATTCTTGTGAGTTTTATCTTTTGTACCTAAAGCTAAATTTTGATCATCCATTTGCGTATGAAAGATAATATATCTTATGTATCATACATCATGTATGATACATTTTATGAATGAAAATATATATCGTACATTATGTTAAAAAAACTAAAATTCTTACTAAGAGCGTATTTGCAAAAATCACAGACGCAACCGTAAAATGTTTATCACAATATGTATTGTATATAGATCCAACTTGTGTTTAGAGAAGTAAACTTTAAATATTATTTTCATATACATATTACGCACCGAGAATTTATTTTTCTCGTTTATATATTATTTAAATCATAATACGGATTTGAATAAATCTGTGTAAAATTTGTGACAATGTTAAATTATAAAATTGATCTCATTTGAAGAGAGAGAGAATTATGTTGTAATAAATTATCAAGTAGAGAAATCATAGAAGTGTTATTTTAAGAACTTTATGGACTAAAGAAAGCGTTCTGATGAATTGTGGAGAACGCTTAATGTTCAAATGTCTTTGTTCTCATCTTTATTATTATTTGTGCTTATAGCGAGAGTTTTGCCGTGTAGTAAACTACTACATTGTATATCAATTTCGCTACTTATACACTTGTGTACCTTCGAAATTTTATTTCTCTTATAATAATTTTCGATACTTTCAACATTCTTCTTTTTGTTATTTTATAATAGTTGTCTATAATTATAGTTTTTATTCTTCCCAAGATTATTAGAGAGAATAGACACAAGAAACACATAGGTAGTGACTTGAATGATTTTTCAGTTAATTATATAATTTATATAATTAAAATATTGTGAAAGTATTACATACAATAATAAGAAATATCAGGCACTTCAATATCTTTTCTCGTTTATATGTGAATTACAAATTTGACGTATATCTTGCGCTATTCTGATGCTTGAAAGAGCTCGATTACGTACAGTAATAATGTCACAATATTAAAAATCTTTATTTCTTTCGCATTATAATAAACAGTAGCCAGAAAAGCAAAAGATTTATACTTCATATTTAGGCTGCATTCCGATATTCACTGTCAGTACTGCAAATCTATATTTTACGTCACGTATACTATAGATTTTCAGTACTGAAAGTTGCTGACAGTGAATTTCGGAATATATGCTTAATAATACGAATAAAGTATAATTTATTTTATAATGGATTGTGTAATTAAATATTATAATCCATTATAATATTAACTTTATTAAGATGCACACACATTGATAAGAAATTGTGACTTGATAAAGAAAGATCATCTTTCACACATAAAAGAGAACATCACGATATTCTTATAAAATGTCATGGTGTTCTTATAAATCAATAACGCGAATTGTCATCATAAAAGATGGCACTTATTACTGACATCTAAATACTACAATGTACATAGCAAAATGATGATCAAGAAAATCAAGATCAGTTTTTGAATGAGGAAGAGAGATACATAGTGTCTTTACAGGACGATAATGCGCGCCTTCATATTAACATCTGTTTCTATACAAAATCTAAGCTTTATTTCACAAATCTATTAATAAGCATAATTTAGATAGTAATATATATATCGCACATTTTACTGAAATTTATAAAATAGCCATTAAGAGACGATGTTTTCGTGTATAATATAGAATATGTATATTTTGGTCTAATACAGGCCAAAATCACTTTATAACGCCAGCCTTTTGTTCAGAAATTCACAGTAGTGTGTGATAGTGGACAGTGACGCTTGACAGTCACATTTTTCCCGCAAGAAAATCTGTATAGAGTTTCTTATCTTTTATTTTCTACAAATTTCGTCATAATCTTTAATCCTTAAAATTTTTTGTATGTGTTACATTCACATTTTGTGCCTTCCATATTGATATGCAAAATAAGAGAAATTGTTTGTCGCATAATAAAACTAAAATTTTGCTATGATGTAAAGCAGTGTTTGTTAATGTGTGGACAATTCTTCACTGATAAAACGTCTCTGCCATTACACACGAAAATTATATAGCAGTTCCAAAAATACAAGCATTTTAGCTTCCTTGAAATTTTAACAGTTGATAAACAATGTTTTTAAGGAAAATAAAATATAAAACTATTTGGTATGACGTAATATACGGAGGGGTAAAAGCCATAGTGGTGTAAGTCAATTATCCCTCCATATACGAATGATGAATTTATGTACTTTCTGCTTTTTTCTCTGTATTGATATGATATCATCTCTTTTGCAATGTGTGTTTACGAATCTGTTGATTATGCTATATAATTGGAAGATCTTTCATTGAGTTGTTATATCTATCAGCATTTTATTACACATTTAAAAGAGAAAGCTCACACACTATTCTTATTATATGTATTTTTCACGGCAAAACATCTAGCTAATAATTTATAGGTAATCAAACTACATAAAGTGTAACTCTAAATTGAACAGTGTTATAGGTAGGCAATGATCCATATAAAATCTAGATTTAATATATTGATAGGAGTAGTAAAAAGACTTAAATAAGTATCCGTATAGCTAAAAGCAACAATATTATTCAAATTATATATTGGCAAATTGACATACGCGCCTGTGTGAATATGTGTATGCGTGTGCATAAGAATGAACGATTGCTTGTAGATCTTCGTGCATGCTTCGACAGATCAGTCGCGATTGTTTAAGTAAATCAAGCAGGATCCATATTTTCCAAGTGAGAACGAGTTTTCCTTCAGTATGTATATGGGAATGGATGAAAATTGCGTTCACCGATAGTGACATATCACGCAAACGCGACAAAATCTTGCCAATAGATTAAGACGATAATATAAAAACGGAACACCATTTGTGTAATAGCGAGTAAAAAGCATTATTACATTAAGAAAAAAAAATTCTGTAGCTAGATCATTGCTCAGTAGGCGAGGGCGCGCATTATCGTTATGAAACGTAATTTCCACGTGTGAAATCGAATTGCGAGGTTCTCTGTCGCAAAAATCTACTTTTCCCAAAATTAGATTAATCCGCACCTCTGCGTGAATGTTTTACAGAATATGAACATACATATTGCGTTTTATTTATTTTCACGTTAGATTTAACATTACTTTTAGGTAATATTAATTAGTTAATATTTTTAATGTACCCGCACATAAAATACTTTCTTTCGTCGAGAATTCGTCGGAAGAAATATATGATTCGAGCATGTCAGTGTAACGATAAGGAACGGTATTATGCTATGATTTTTTTTACAAGATGCGTATGCAGATTTCTCTAGGTGTAAGAATCTTTCGTCCTATGCAAAGGAATGATCGAGAATTTCATCAATTAAATTTCTGCTGCATGTAACAATACTGCAATCATTTTAAACGCGATATAGCAATGTAAAAATCTCTGGTATCTCTTGCAGTACAGATATTTAGAAAGAAAACTGAAATTGTCTGTCATTAAATATTAGTTGCTACGATGTATATAGCCGTGGCGATCAAGAAAAAAAATAGAACATGAAAAAAGGATTGATGGTATAATGTGTATATGTATAAAGAGCGATACAACCTACGTTTATACATATTCCTTGGAATATGTGTATCGCACATTTGGCTGGATAAGTTGTACACATGTAATTATACAAAATTAAATATATCTTGTGCATTGTACAAAAACTATTTATTTATCATATCCTCTTTCACGGATACAATGCAATAATCCGTAGAGTAAAATAGAGCATATAAAATGTTTTAATCTCTATCACAATTGGTTTTCAATTATTCTATATTAAATTTATCCACCTGCCGGTAAACATAATTATATCTCGGACCCATAATAATCTTATATTAATCATTAAGGTATATTTTTATCATTTTTCTTTTCTCAGTCAAATTAAATGATACAGTTCGTTAATAAAATAATATTTATTGCTAAATTATATTTGTCAATTACATATTATCTAAATATAAAAAGAATCGGTTTATCAAGATTTATATGAAACGTCAGTTTCGATTACAATGATTTTTTTTTGCAAATTTGAGAAATTGATTGAAATATATACCATTTACAGATCAGTCTAACGCGGAACAAGCTTTGTTATTTCAAAAGTTTTGATACCAAGCCGGTTGGTTCGCATTTTACAATTTGAAACGGGAAATGAATAAATGAGAATTGTACTATTTCCACTGTTGTATAATGACATCTCGCTTCCGCGCCATATAATCAATCTCTTTTAAATACAAAATCACTCGCAAATCGTCGTAGCTAAAGCCAACTTTTTCCCGCAATTTCCTAAAGCGCCTTGTTTGTATCGCGCGTACAACGTCCAAAGAATCTTCATGATTATCGCCCGAAGGGTCATGAAGAAAGCACGTGTTTAAAAATTTCGATTCCTCCTTATGGAAAACGCTGTCGTTGTGATGGAACGGATTCTCGATCGTCACGTTAGAATCGCCGTCTCGGACTGCATGTGTGAAATATCGTATAAAATCCACGCTGTTGTCGGCGATATGACGACGAATAACATCTAACAGAAACCGTTGATATATCATTTCTTCGTGTTGCAATCGGTGCGGGCTAAAATTTATGTAATCGCGGAACGCGTGCGTTTGCAACGACGTCGACACGATTTCGCGTATCCCGGCGATCTCATCCTTCAGCAGAACCAAACAGCATCGCATAATCGTTAATTTATTATTGTCCTCCAGCTGTGCGAAACGATGCAGGGCTAATTCGATGTATTCCGCCGCCGTTAATCGCACGGACTGCTTCTCATCTATACATATATCGGAAACGTACGACAGTACTCCATTTATCAGCGTCTCGCGCTTAGAAAATGCTAAGATCAATGAATTCTTCACGCGAACTATGTTCGAATTCGCAACAGCCATCTCTCCCTCGTTTAACTCCTCTATTATCTCATCGAATTCCAATTCGTTGGTCTCTAAACTAGCGTGCCTTATAGTTCTCAATGTAAACGTTACTGTTTCGTCGAAAAGTAACTGGTAATAATTGCTCTTCATCGATGTCAAGTACTTGAGAATAAATTCCAATAAAGGGACGCAATACGACAGACTTTTTAATAATTCGATACTTTGCTCGGTACAACTCGAGTTCAGAATATTGCGTATCGCTTCTCGCTCGAGATCGTCCAATTCTAATCCACTTGCGATCAACGATTTGAGATGTGCCGCGTGCAGCTGCCCCCAATGTCCAACGAACTGAAAAAATCCTGGTTGAATTTTCTGCGACGATACTATACGTTCAATTACCGGTAAATTGTAATGGAAAGGTAATCTGTCTGTGAAACGTGTACAAGAGTGTGATTCCCGTAGAAACAACGTTTCCAAGATGTAGCACGGCTGTGCAGCTTTTCTATGTTTGCACATATCATTCCACGCCTCTAATACGTCGAAGTATCGACTTCTTCCGGAATTTCCGGTCCAACAGACTTTGCCGTAGTCTTCTATCACCTTGTTAGAGGGACATATACTTCGAGTATCGTGAATGTACTTTTCCCTTAAATATTCACAAGTTAACAAGCACCCGTGCGACATGTTAACATCACGGCTTGAGAGTATCTTCTTTCTGATCGCGTCCATCTCCGAGTCGATACTGTTGAAAGGCGTCAGAGCCGTGTACGCTTTCGCAGCCAATTGTCTGACATGTATCATCGGGTTACCGAGGAAAGCGAGCAACAGACGTTTGACTTTCGTCGTGAATATCTTCGCGGGATAATCGACGAGATCGCAACCGCTGATCGACAGTTTCGACAACACTATGAGCGTGTGCACGACGCCAGAGTAGGAACGTAGCGCCGCGTTCGAAGTCCCGTGTATCCTCGAGACATCTCGGAGTTGTGCCCACATGCGACTCGTCAACGTCGGATAATGCGTGACAAAGTGGTTGACGGAGTAACCGTCACCGAAATCGAACGCTTCATCGCCTTTCCTGGTACACTGGCCCACCAATCTCGGCACCACCGCGCCGTACAACTGCAAACTCGCATTCCTGCACAACGCATTTTACATGATAAAAGGGGATAAATTTAAAAAAAAATATCCGGAATAGATAAAAGAATAATGAATTGACGTTGCATTGTTTTACCTTACAGTCCAAACGTCGGATTCCATGTACTCGAAACACGTTAAACAAATGTTCTCCATATACGGAACTAATTGCGCGTGTATTTCCTTGTTGGCTACTAACGCACGCAGAAAGTACAGGCGTTTCGCCCAGGGTGAGTCTGCGCCGGCTTCTACATTTCTAACAGCCGCCACCGAAAAGTTCTCCAACGCGCGCAATAACGTCTGTACCGCAAGATGCACTGTAGGCCGATCCCTCCGATTATCGCTGACGACTAATCTATGAAACATGATCGACAATCCAGCACCTCGTCGTGTTAAGTGCAACGATTTTCCCGTATCCTCCTCTAACAAACACGTCAGATATGTTTTTGGCAGCTCGGAGTACTCCTTTTTGTTGTACAAACATCTAAAACAATTTTTTATTAAAAGATGATCATCAGTGAAATCAGAATAATCGTAATAACAATATAAATCATTTAATTAATTATTACAGCGTTACTAGAAAAATTATTCATATTGTTACTATAAATTCATTATTTCTATCTCACGTCGAATTGTCTCGATAACGCGCACTTATTTATTACGTTAATTTGTACATTAATTTATTTCACATATATTACATTAAATAAAATTCTGTTGGATATATAATTACTTGGATAAATTCGCAATTGCTACACCAGCACATTCCACTACGCCTTTATGCCGACACTTTAATAATACTGTAACGATAATATCCATAGAACATTTTACTTGTGTGCTTGACTGCATCAATATCCCAATTTCGCTGGCGATCTCGCATGATATCTACGTAAAGGTACATTTAATTAATTATCATAATGTTAAATCGTGGCAAGCGCGCAATATTATACCTTTAAAGACATCCAGATACACGAGATAAGCACTTGATGTGCTGGCGATAATTGCAATTCGTCATAATCAAAATCCTCTATTTCACTGGTCTTTATCTTTTCATCGATAGCCAATCCCATCTCCGCAAACGAGGACGAATAAACTAAACATAAAATTTTATAGGAATCGAGCAATTAGTTCCTATTAATAAATAATATAATAATTTTAATGTAATAGCAAACTATGTAATCTTACTCGTTAATATAAAAACTTTTAATAATTATACATTACTAAGAAATTATTAAATCTTAATGTTTGAAAATTAATATTTTGTATTTAATGAAGGTAGTAGCTGTGTAACATAAGACTGTGTAATATTCTGTTAATATTATTTATAGAAATACCTGTATTCGACGCTTTCGTAGAAAACGTAGATAAAAAGAAATCAACGGCATCTTTCAAAAGATTGAGTATCTCCTCCGTAAATTGCGGTGTTAAAATCCAATTCTCTGGGCCATCGCGGAAAGCAACTGCCAGTAAAGCAGTCAACACGCCATAAAAAGGTCTATTCTGGACAATGGCTTTTAAAATGTCACTTTTCATCTGTGCTAATTGGCATTTAGCTTCGTTCAATAAAAATTCTGAGTAACTCGAGTAAGCGAGAATATTATTATATTCATTGTCGGAAAATATTGCAGCTGTGTCTTTAGAGACCTCGTTCAAGGGTAACCAGTGTGCCATTATTTTTACGAGAGTTGCTCCGCTTTCGATTTTGTAGAATTTGGAAGAATTGCAATGCTCCCACGCACAATGGTAGAATATCTAAAGTCAGAAATTTTCTAATATAACTTAACAAATATATTATACGGCTTTACAAAAATATTTTCTAAAATTCAAGGATTAAGCAATCTTCGCTCAATTTTGAATTAACTCTTCTTCGAAGAGAGAAATATGACATCAATAAATTTCAAAATATAAAACAAAAAATTGTAATAGATTTCTGCAAACTTTGTTAGACAAGAATAAAAGTCGATCTTTTATTCTATAGTAAATTTGACTTGAATATTATTGTAAAAAAAAACTGAAAAAGATATTAAAAATATTAAGAATGTAAAAGTTACAAAAAAGATTTAATAATAATTTAAATGATTTTTATATAAAAATCTGCAATGACCAAAGAATATATCCTTCAATTTTTCAACTCTTTTTATAACTCGTATACATGCAAAGGTGTAAAACATTTAAAGATAAAAATATAACGTAAATATAACAAGCTTTTCTTACGCGTTTTTCTATGATCGATAAAGTATCCTTTTCAAAATATTCCCGAATGAGACTGGCAGCTAGTTGTCTAACATCAAGAGCAGAATCTAGTACGAGTCTCAGTAACAGAAACAAAGACTCTTTATTAGTAAATCTCCAACTATCAGTGGTTTTTAAGTATTTGTCGACCACTGTGATGTATTGAAGGCATTCCTTATGACGACTGTAGCTCTTGTGCGAATTTTTTCTCGTGAAAGAAAGTAATGTCCCGTATAAGTTTAAAGCAAGGATATTGCGTTGATAACACGAGCCAACTTCGAAACAATCCAGAAAGTATTCGTGCAGCCATTCCATGAACTCGGAGATTGATCGCACACAATCAGCTCTAACGCTAATCGCTTTTAAGATATTCGAGCACAATATCTTGAAATATTTTATTATCCCTTCTCTCATGAAAATCGTTGCGGTATTGGCGTTAAACCACAGAAATTGTTTTATCAGAAGGAATGGATCCGCTTTGTTAATGTCAATCAGCTCGACAGCACGATAACAGAGCACACCAAAAGCGTTCAGTCGTATGATTTCTTCTTTGTCACTTAAATAATAATCGATTTCGTACGTTTGTGGCAGCTCAACGTGTATTTTAGCGGCCATTCTTTGCAGATGTGAACGAAAGAAGTATCCTTGCGAATCGCCGCACAGCTCCCACAAAAACGGCAGGATGTTCCTGTACATTTCAATGGTCGGTTCGAGCCAGTATTTAAACAACGATTGAAGAGCGTTGTGATCCTCACTGTAAAAAGATTTGCAATTATATCGTACGAAGTATTAAATTGTAAGACGTGTTCTTTGCATTACAAAAAATCTTAAATTACACAGAGAACAGTCATATATATTATAAAGAAATTTTGCACAAAGCTCTTTTTGGCATAGCTCTCTGCTTGAGAAGCAAAAGAAAGTGAGTTTAAAGTGAGTTAAAAGATTATCAGAAAAAAATTAACTTCACAATACAAAATTATTCTGCAAACTTACTGCTCACCCGACTCCCAGCGACGAATAACGAATTCTATAACTTTCCCGAACATCTTCTTCCATTCAACCTCGCTTAATCTCCTTAAAATCACCAGATAAAGTTTCATACCGCCACAGCGCAAAGAATTTCTCGTTAAGCTAATGCATAAATTAAATAAGAAGCAGCTCGTAGCTTGGACCTCCATGTCCCGTACTTGAAAAATTTCCGCCAGAATAACATATTTTGTTTCGTTTTGCCACGACATGTCTTTAAGACATGTATGATATATATAATCTACAAATGTTTTCTTATATTTCTGCGACATTATCCGGAGATACGTGTTGAAAATTTCTGCATTCTGCTTGCATAAATTATTAAGCGCGTTGGACCAATTAGAAAATATGATAGTTTCCAACTTTCGTTCTAAAATACAATCGCTTTGGTCCCAGAAACGCGCGTCGGATGTATTCTTTAATCTCTTCACCCACGCAGACAATACCTTGTACGCGAAGTAAGAGTATCTCGTGTATTTCATACAATTTCTATATATCACGTCAAACGTAATTAAGAGACAGTCGTATTCGAAGCACGTCGTCGTCGTATTCTCGAGAACATCTTTCCGATTCACCTGCAGATATCCATAGGCGTTCAGTAACTTGAACAGCTCGAGGTCGGAAACGGCGTATCGCTTCTCGAGGAAACACAAGTTACACGAGTCTAGTCTTTGGAAACCAATTACGGTGTCTTTGAAAGAGTCGCCTTGCATCGGTAGCAAAACGTAGAACGCGTGGCACGCTAAAAGGACGCGTTCATTCCCCAATTCGTAATTGTTACTGATTATCTCTACAATATGCGCTAGAATCGTTTCCCATTCTTTCACACTTTCGTTCGCAGAGTCGTGCAAAGGCGTACTTATCAATTTCTGAAAAAAAAGGAGACAAGTCGCTGTAGTCAAACCGCAACGAATAAAATATTTTATTGAAATAGCGAAGAAGATACCAACTCGAAAAATCGGTATATCGTTTTGACAATTCTGCAATTCGTTGAACACGTCGTGTAATTTCATTTTCTTTTTTGCGTGAAGTGTCCAGTATTTAAAGACGGTTATTGGTAATTTGATTCGTTTGATCTGTTCGTTTTTTCTGCAAGACTTCTATTTCATAATATATCGGGCAATGTTAAAATAATATCTCTAGTTGCGTAAGTTTTTATTTCCCATTTGAAAACCGAGAACCGGTTTGGTCTTCTTATCGAACTGCTTCGGCAAATCGGACTTTTCGGAACTTTGCATCCCACCGTCGAGACAAGTCCTGCAAGTAATGGAAAGTAATCACGTTCAAGTAAAAAAAACGCAAAATAAGCTGCGCAAAAAATTTTTAAAATTTTTTACAAAAAAAATATTATTAGTTGAAGTATAGTGTAAAAGCCTGTGATTGAAAATAACTACTAGATTAAAGTTTAGTATAATCGAGATTATATTCTGGAACGTTGAAATTTGAGAGAAAGAAAGAGAGAACGAACGGCTTTTGAGAGCTTCTGTAAAATACCGGTTAAGGATAATAGAATGTCACAATAAAACCATTGTCTTGTGTTATTTTTAAGCATCTTATTTATTATAATTCAACAGATAAAGACAACAATGTAAAATCCAAAAAAAAAAAAAACATTCGAATGAATAATGTATGAAATTAATTGTTTAATAGTTAATATTGATAATCATGAATTGCTATGAATGTAATACAATAGATTAGTTCTTATGTTTCCTTTGGCTCTTCAGGAACATACCCCCCCTTCTCTATTTGCTCTTTGAACTTCAAGTAATCTCGCTTACGATCAAAATGTTTCACCTGCGTAACAGTGGCATAGAAGACTTGTTAGACAATAAAAAAAAAGGTTCTACTTACTATCGACGTTAAGTCACATAATAAATATTAAACAAACTTCTTTGGAAATGCCGTCGAAGAGTACTGCCTGTAACACTTACCCATTGAGACGGGCAGAATTTTTCATATTGTTTCCTAAATTCCTTACATTCTGCTTGAGATTTGCCTTCATCGAGACATTGCCAATATTCATCCCTACGACCCCAGCATTTCAAACGATCTTCTTTGTTTGGGAAAGACATTCTGTGAGAATATAAAATAAATTATTTATACACTTATAAATATTTTCAAATATTTATAAATATTAAACATTT